TATCAACTTCCTCTCTGGGAAAGAAATGAGCACAGAAGGAACCTAGAGGTCTACTGACAGTCCTGTATATAAATGAGCCGGCAAACTTCTGCAGTTCAGGAAACTGCGTTGTCAGCGTCTAATTTGCTAATAGCGAACCACATGATGAAAATACCCAACAGGGCAACGGCACAGAAGCATGGGCGGATGACTGGCTTTGCAAATACCCCAAGGTGTAATACTAAACCAGCCATTCCGCTTCCCGGAACCTCCTTTCCTCTCCTTTAAAATGGGTCTGCGCAACCTGGTCATGTCTCTGAAGATTTTGGGAGAAGTGAGTAAGTAACAGGCATGAGGTGCTTCCCAACTGTCTTCTGGTATTCAGGAACTCACAAAAGCTTTTCAAAAAACAGCAGACACAGAAAATTTAAAGTATATTTGGCTGACTAGCAAAGGTTTCTCCAGGCCTCCTCCTCATCTGAAACGTCCTCTCCCATGTCTCTGGTGCTGAGAAAATCTCTGTCACCTGTTATAACGCCGTCTACACAAGACCAGCGCTCTCGCCCAAGGCCACCTGATGGCATCAAACATTTCCACAGCGGTGCAGCCAAAAACCTCATGGAAAAAAAAAACAAACCTAGAGAGAAAATCCACCCTTTGAAGACTTAGTCCTGGGTTTTAAATCTTTCTATTCTTTCTTAACACTAAGTATTGACATTATTTCCATCAATGATGCCTTGTTTTAATTTGTTTTTCACAGCCATTAGTAGCACATGAAAGGTCATCGGACGTTCCTGCCACCCGTAAAACTGGAAAAGGCGCTTACAATCCAGGATCTGTAATGCACTGGGCCATATTCTGGTCCCCAGTTTTCATGGTTTTCTCTTATTAGGCGTCCCACTGGCTTGGGATTATTTCTAGACTCAGCAGAGTAAAACCATTAACACTAAACACCTGATTCACACCTTTAAGATGCAACTGAAGGAAAGGCTCAGACATGCCCTCTGAGCTTCCACTTGTGGCTCCTGGTGGGCCTCCCCTGGGCACCCCCATGCCCACGCCCCGCGGCCCCCAGAAGGCACCCCCGGGTGCCCACGCGGGACACTCCCCGGCCCGCCCGGGTGCCCACGCGGGACACTCCCCGGCCCGCCCGCCCCGCCGGCCTCCACGGGGCCAGCTCCCCACAGACGGGCGCTCCTCTAACAGGGACCAGTCTAGGAGCGGCGGCCGCCTCACGAAGGCCTTCAGAGGCCGGATGCGGACTTTCTCGGTGGACCGCGGCCTCCGCGCCCGCCCGGCCCTGGCCTCGGGCCTCTGGCTTCACCAACCACCTGGCGAGGCCCAGCCCAGCCCCGCGCACCCCGGCCGCCGCCCGCCGCGTCCTCACCGGCCTCGCCCGGCCTGCGCCGCAGCCAGCAGCCGAGTCCGCCTCACGCCGGCGCCGCCCGCTCCCGACTGCCCCTGGCGCTCCCCGAGCCGCGCGCCCTGCCCGGGACCCGCCCCCACCCCGCGGACGCGCCGCCGATTGGCCTGCGGGGTGCTGGGGCGGGGCTTCCCCGGGTGCTCGTCCTGGGAGCGCGACACCGAGTTCTGATTGGTGGCCGGACGGAGAGAGGGCGGGGCGAAGGGGACAAAGGAAGTCGAAGCAAATCTGTGCAGAGCGCCGGCGCGCGGGGCGGGGCCCGGTCCTGCGTGAGCCCGGCTCGCGGGGCGGGGCCACGGCACGCAGAGCGCGCTGGCCGCGCTCCTCCTCCTCGCCCGCCGCCTCTCGCGCCAGTCATGGAGTTATCGGGACCGGGAGCACTGAAGGATCGCACGGTGGTGTGCTGCGTCAGAGGCAGGCCGCCCCGGGGGGAGGCCCGCACCCCTGCTCCGCACCCTCGCGGCCCCCCACCCCGGAGTGGAAACGTGACACCACATATCCCGGGCCTCCGAGGCCCGCGACTCGCAGAAGCACGCTTCCTTTCTCCCTAAACGGGTTCACTGAACTCTCACGCGTCCTTCAAGGCCCTGCCCAGCATGCCCCCTGAGCCAGGCCCTGGTACCCGCTGTCCCCGAGCTGCTGTCGAGGGGAATAAACCCAGGAGCGACCCGGGCATGTCCTCGAGGGGACTTTCCCTAGGTGCTCCGGTCTCCGGAGCGAAGCCCGACCCTTCCAAGTTCCCCAAAGCCAAGCCGGGAGGAACGTTGGCCCAGAGGAACCTCCGTTTTCCCCCAAGCATGCTCCGGGTATGAGCTCCTGGCCGGCACACCAAGACCAAGCTTAGCCCGGCGGGGCGGCCCTCCCACAGGTCCTCCCCAGACTTGTCCTCTAACCGGCCTGAGCGACGACCCCGCCAGCCCCCGGGCATCGCGCACGCCCCAGGACAGGACCCCCGGTAGGTGCGCAGCGACGGGGCTGCCGTGCAAGGGAGAACCTGGCCGGAGAGGCGGGTACTGACCCCGTGACGGCTGCAGGGGGTACACTGGTGACCCGAGGAGGTGGGCAGTTTGGCAGGCATAGGGCGGAGAGCGCAGGCCAGGGCCAGAGGCCTTGGGGTGGTGTCCAGCGATGCCGGGAAAGTGGCCAACGCTGCCCGCAAAAAACCGGGTCCCTTTGGTAGAGTTGCAAGGGATAAGAAAATAATACAGAAAAATGGAAAATAAAAGAAATGAAAGAATACAGAAAGACAGTTTTATAAGTTTATGAAGATTATAGGCAAAGCGGGATTTCAGGGGGCCTAGACCTTCTCCGTGGGCCTCAAAGGCCCGAATGAGGTCTTACATGGTAACTTATAGGGAATAGTGATTAATTGCCAGGGGTAACAGATTTACATAACAGCAGGTAGTTCCTCTCAAGTTAACAGATTTTCAAAAGCCTTCTACAGATCCTTTAACTAATTCTATCCACCTGAACAAATGGTTACAAAATCTTTCAAAGATTAAGGAAGTTCTAAGGTAAGTTTATCACTTAACAGAGGGGTTAAACAGAGATATGTTGGCTCCATATTTATTAGGTTATTGTGAATGGAGACAGGTAGTCTCTAGAGTGTTTAAACAGGAGCTTGCTTTTAGCCATTCGGGCAGCTGTCTGTGGGGGGGGGACTCCATTGTCAGCTCTCATCCTGTAGTTTTTAACAGATTCGCTTTGCTTTACAAAGCAAATTCAAACCTTTGGGTCTGAGAAACCAGGCGCCCTGTGGGATGCAGCCGCTACTGTCTTTCAGAGACACCCTTCTGAGTGTAACAGCATTTGAAATGCAAACCAACACGTTCACATACTCCTTCAGGGCAAAGCCCGGCAAAACTCCTAAGACATCCTGTCTGCAAACACATTTATATTACCATGGAGCAACACAGCCAGACCAGGCTTCAAGTCCAGGTTTTCAGTTTCCCTTAATAAAGCTGTAGGGCTTTCCTAACCTCTCTCTTCTTAGAAACATTATAGAGTAATTAGAAATTTCTTCTCAGATATATTTCAGCTATTCATATATATTTCCAGGTTTTTCATAGTTGTTGCTACGGTGAATGAGATCTTTAACCACTACATTTCCTAATTAGTAAGTAGGTGTCACTGACCTCTCATTAGTGCTATTTTTTATCAGATGGTCTTGTACTTTCCAAGTAAATGATCTGATCACCTGTAAATAATTCCTTTCTAATCTTTCTCTCATTCATTTGCGCTGGAATCTCCAATATGTACGAAGTTGTTCAGTACTGATGCTATTGATGGGAATAATTGATTTTATATTTTATTTTTTGAAACAGGGTCTTGCTCTGTCACCCAGGCTGGAATGCTGTGGCATAAT